TCAGATTGGACATTGCGCGGCAATCGAGCTGAGCATGGCAACATTGACCATATCTAGAGCACAAATACGATTGATAGCAAATCATTGATCCCAAGGAATTCCAAAAACGACGGTGCCTGAAGCTGGAAACAATTACCGATATCAATTCCCAGCGTAAAAATCGCCCAAGCATTACGCCATAGTCAAGTCACAGCTACGCCAACAACTTCTCACGGATCGACCCGTCATAGCAGGTATCCACTCCCCGCCGGTGATACAACGTCAAGCCAATTTTATTTCCATAGTCATAATGTCATTGACTCAATCTTTTGGAATCATTGACTTCGTCCCCCTAGCAATCCCCTGTACAGCGAGTGCTTGACGGCATGATTACGAACTATATGACGGAGTGATTGATAATTTCTCTACGCATCATAGTGGAGAAATGCACGTCGGTAGTTAAAGAGGTAGTTGTAAGATAGCCGATGAGTGTAGATAAAATGCTAGATCTGCTCGTGCATATTCCCATCTGCATTCGACATCATTTCTTTCTGATTAATCATGTCGGCCACTTCCTTCCTACGAAGTGCGATCCTCCTCGCTACCGTGGGTGTCGTCAGCGCTGTACCCGTTGTATCAGAGGCGCAGACGACAGTCTCATCCTCTGGTCCCGCTGGCACACCTCGACCCTATAGCTTTGTAACTTCTCACGGCCCTTTCAAGGGAACACCTACCACCACTGGAGCACTATCAACTACAGTTCTTGCATCCGCTATTCCTGAGCGTCCTCCTCCCCCAGGATCTTTCGACTACCCCGCCAATGGCAAGTTGAACGCTCCCCAGCCAGCACCCTACACCCCAGACGGCGGTGTTGGCACCAATGGCTCTGCACCTGTATATCGCGTGCAGAGCGACTTTGACTACCAATCCCTCGCTCTGGCTCTGTACCAAGAGTGGATTGAACTCGATCTCTTCCGCTGGGGTCTCGCCACTTTCTCAAAGGAAGAGTTCGACGCCTACGGCATCAACGATGAGGACCGCTTTCTCATCGAGCACATGGCCCGTCAAGAAATCGGCCACGCGACTGTGATTAGCAACATGCTTGGCCCCGAAGCCCCCAAGCAGTGCACGTACAATTACCCCGTGTCCAACGTGCCCGAGTTCATCGACTTCAACCAGAAGCTCACGCGCTGGGGCGAGTCAGGCGTGTACGGCTTCCTGCCTCACTTGAACTCTGGACCTGCGGCGCAGTTACTGCTTCAGAGCATTACAATTGAGGCGAGGCAGCAGATGATCTTTAGGCAGTTTGGCGGTACGTTTGCTATGCCTGAGTGGCACACACCTGGTATTCCGCAGAGCTGGGCGTGGACTTTGTTGGCGCCGTATATCTCGAGCTGTCCTTACAATCAGACGAGACTTGTGTGGCAAAACTTCCCTTCGTTGAATATTCTGAACCAGCCTAACCCTGCGCGAATCAATGGGTCTGCGGTATGGAATGAGACGACTGGTGGATATGCCAATACTTTGTCTACCAAGGATATTGATGAGGATGAGCTGTGCGTCAACGCTACTAAGACTGGCGAGAACTGCAAGGCTGCCATCACACATAACCGGACCATTCCCCTCTCCTACCCCGGCCGTCAGGTCTTCCTGAACTGGGATGCACCCGGCAAGCCTGTCGGCCCCAACAACAGCTACATCACCTCCACCAACGTCAAGGAGCCCAAGTTCGCCGCGTGGGTCTCTCAGCTCAATGTCACATACTCTCCTCTCCAGAACATCAGCCTCGAGGACAGAACGGCTTATACCATCCAGCCTAATGTTTCAACTTGGCAGGGTGATCCTGCTATCAACGGAACTATGTTCCTCGCTTTGACGGATACCGACCTTTACGTCACGCCTTATAATCTTACGATGATTAACCCTCATGTTGCTGCTCTGGCTGTTTACCAGGCCGGTTAAGTCAGTGTTTGCTGGGCTTTAGCTTTGAGATTTTGGAATATTTGGCAAATGGGTATGGCTTATGGTTGCTTGTATAATTCTATTCCTCGTGTATTATATCACGACTTAATGATATTCACATATTTGCCTGAAAATGGCCTTGAAATGATGAAACTCAATTGCGTGACTATGATGAAATGCTAAAAACAATTTCCCTTGCGACCGTGATTCAGATATCATCATAACCATACAGACCCTCTTCCAATCCCTTGATCTGCAGCGCCAACAACTTAGAGTAGTATCGGCACATAGCCAGGTTACCGCCATGGTACCAGAATCCAGGATGTCCACTCTTCTGCCAAATAGTCCTCATCTCACCCTCATCATTGAAGCCCCAAACATCATTCACCTTATCCGCGATCGCATCGCCAAACATGACCCTCGTCTGCGTTCTCATGTTCTGATATCCCGTGGCGAAGACAATCTCATCAGCCTCAAGCTCCGAGCCATCCGCGAATCTCAATCCATGTGGCAGAACAGTCTCAATCTCTTGTCCGTGCTTGACCTTGATCTTGCCGTCGGCGATGAGTTGAGAAGCACCGACATCGATGTAGTAACCGCCTCCGCGCTGGAAGTACTTGAGCAACAGACCGGCGTCATCGGGACCCGCATCAGTCTTGAAACCAGCCTTGTTGAGACCGGAGAGGATATCCTTGTCGAAGTCTGCTTGCTTCTTGGTTGTTGTGACGGAGAGAGCTTTGAACACGGGGATGGGAAGGCCGTGGATGAGAAGATCGGCGTCATCGACGGGGGGGCCATCTTCGGAGTAAACGCCCTTGAGACCAATGTCGGTGATCGCCTTGGAGGAAACGACATGTGTGCTGGAGCGTTGAACCATGGTGACGTCGTAGCCCTTCTCAAGGAAATCCTGAGCGATGTCGTGACCTGAGTTGCATGATCCAACAACAATAGCCTTCTTACCCTGGCTGTTATCGCGAGCACCAGAGAACTCGGAGGAGTGGCAGAGACGATCGCCCTTGAAGTCGGAAATGCCCTTCATGTCGGGCATGTTCTTCTTTCCAGAGTGACCAGTAGCCTGGATGAGATGTCGAGGGTGCAGAGTTCGTCGCTCCTTGGTACCGTCATCCTTGGTTCGCTCAACAGTGACATCCCATCGCTTCTTTGCGTCATCCCACTTCGTCTCAACGAGGGACGTCTTCATCCAGATGTTGAGCTCAAGAAGCGTGGCGTAGGCTTCGAAGAACTGAGCGAGCTTGTCCTTGGGCGTGAAGATGGGCCACTGGGGAGGGAATTGGAGATATGGCATGTGATCGTACCAGACAGGATCGTGGAGTACGAGCTGGTGGTATCGCTTGCGCCAGTTATCGCCAACGCGATCGTTCTGGTCGATTGCGAGGGCTTCGACGCCGAGCATCTTGAGACGAGCAGCGGCTGTGAGACCAGCTTGGCCGGCGCCTAAAACAATTAGCTATCATGCAAATTTCATAAAGAATATGTATTACTTACCAACGATCAAAACAGCAGGCTCGCTACCATCAGCGAAATCAGCCTCGGCCTCACGTCGCTGCGCCCAGTTCTTTCGCCCAGGCTTTCCACCATGCTCAACACCACGCGATCGATGGTCATTAATCGCCTCCTCGAAACCCTTCAACTCTTGAATTCTCGTATAAAATGTGAAAATCTTCCACTCGCCATTCTCCTCAATCAGTCGCGCAAGACCCAGTCCCTTGCCGCGCACAGTCTCAATCTCGAAAAAGAACTGTACGCCCTGGACTTCACCAGCGCCATCGATGGGCAGGAACTGGGGCTTTCGCACAGGGGCTGAGCTATCAACCTCGATTTTAATAAGGCGAAGACCGTCCTTTGACTCGGAGCAGGACTTTAGGAATGAGAGGATGTTGGAGGGGCCCTGGACGGTGCGGAAGTTCCAGGATAGGGCGAGATGATCGCGCCAGAAACCATCTTCGGAGAAGAGACGGGCCAGAGCTGTGAGGTCTTTGTTCTTGAGGGCTGTGTTGAAGGCGGATACGAGGGAGGTGGCGATTTCTTGGGGGTTTGAGGAGGAGGGCTTTTTGGTTGCGGAGGGGAATTTTGCGAGGGCGATGTTTGTTGAGCCGGGGACGGCCCACGCCCGGGAAGTCCGAGGGATGCTTTGAGGAATAACGTCGCCCATTGTGATACTTGTGGATGAAAATGTGAGTTGTAGAGGTCAAGAGGAGAATGAGAGAGAGAGAGTTGATGATGGAGTGAAGGAAGAGGGAGGGGAAGATGGTTGGGTTTAAGTAAGGCAGCCTCAAGTGAAACATGCATAACCAAACACAAGCCGAGAGTTTCTAAGCCCGCTGATCGACGTTACATTTCCCTTTACCATTGGACTATTCCTGTCAAACTCTCCTGCTGTGCTTCCCCACGTTTCCCTTTCCCGCCAACTAATGCCCCTCCCCCGCTCAAAGCCCCGCACTTTGTTGAGCGGTTCCGACTACGGTGCCTATTCTAGCGGAATCGGCTCCGGGAGATCTTCCTTCCATTGGCGGTTCCGTACGATTTGGTCATGAGGAGGAGGAAATCTGGGGTAGTGAGGTCGTGAGGCTGATGTTCGGGGTTGAGGATGTTTTGAAGGTGTCGTGAGGTGAGATTGTGATGAGGCTTTCGGCAAATGAAATTGAGTTTGGCTTGCAGGGTTTTTCACCGGTATCGGGTCATACGTGCAGACACGACTGCAGAATTTTAATTCGATATGTGCCGCTTTGCCTGGCGAAGCTTTGTTGATGAATGCTACAATTCTTCACCGCAAGATAAATGGCTAGGTCGATGTCTAATACCAATGCCGAAGCGACTGCCGTTGAAAAATAGCAGTCAATTGAGGCCCTTGCATGAGACCCCTGAATTAGGCCGAGTTGACGCCATTTAGTACATGGTATGTAGTTTCATAGCGTGCCATTGAGATCTGCTTATATCTTGGCAGATGAGGCTCTCGGAGTGACGTACAGGGCTATGAGCTCACTCTCGGCTGTCAGCATCCTGCCTCTTCAGGACGAATGACGCGAGATGACTGGCAATCACGGTCGGAACTTGCCAACTGTCATCTGTCTCAGCTCTGGCATAATATCTGCCGGTGTCCGTCCTGACTTGTCTTTGAAGAGAGGATTTGCTCCCTTCTCTGCAATCATTTTCATAATCGGCCGCCTTAACTCATCTAGCTTCTCTGCGTCCCACCGTCGGTAATATACTTTTCTTTCCCGAAACGAATCGTAGGCGCCCTTTTCATTTAACTTATCAACAATCATCTGTGCTCTTTCTGCGATATACGAGAGTGGCGTCCGTCCAGAAATATCTTGAAGATCCGCCTCCACACGATCATCTTCAAGTAAGAGCTCTATAGGCTTCAGACTCTCTTTCTCTGCTGCATATGAGAGCGGCGTCCTTCCCGAATCGTCTTTGGTGTTGGGATCTGTTCGGGCATCATTTAGTAGTAGTTTGACTGCTAGATCGCTTGAATATGCTGCTGCATATGAGAGTGGCGTCCTTCCCGAATCGTCTTTGGTGTTGGGATCTGCTCGCGCATCATTGAGTAGTAGTTTGACTGCTAGATCGCTTGAATGTGCTGCATATGAGAGTGGCGTTCGTCCCTTGTCATCACTTAAATCTGGCTGTAAACTTTCATGAGCAAGTAGTCTCCCAAATGTCGCTCTAGCATAGTATCTGTTGCTCGCTGTATTGGACAGCGCGGTCCGACCGCAGTTGTCCTGTGCATTGACGTCTATGTCCTCTTGTGCAAGTAGCATATCTACCGTTGCTTCATGGCCGTATATTGCTGCATAAAAAAGTGGTGTCCATCCCCTGCTATCTTTGGCGTTCAGGTCGACTCTTCCATTAGCTAGCAGTAACATGATCATACCGTCAAGGGATGGGGTTTCGCCAGTGGTAGAATACTGTGCTGGGAGGCCATGGCCGCCCTGGTAAGCAGGCTTAGCTTGGTTGATCGTAAGCAGTCGTTTTACGACGGATCCATGACCAGCCGCTGCTGCATGGCATAAGGGTGTTTTGTCAGCGTTGTCTTTTGAGTCAGGATCCACTTTCTTTGTAGCAAGAAGCAGATCAACCACGACTTCATGGCCAGATCCAGCCGCAAATGATAAGGGCGAACGGTTAGAGAGGTCTTTGGAATCAGGATCTACACTCTTGATTGCAAGGAGTAGCTCGACTAGTGTCTTGTGGCCACCCTCTGCGGCATATGATAGTGGGGTCCTCCCACGTCTTGTCAACCCACTGGCATCTGTTGAATCAGGGTGCACTTCTTTTGTATCCAACAGTACATTCGCGACGACAAGATGTCCGGCTCCAGCTGCGTACGATAATGGCGTACGAAGCGTGGGGCCTTTCAAGTCTGGGTTCACCTCTTTCTGCTCAAGAAGAACTTTGACAACGGCCACATGACCAGCTTCTGAAGCGAATGATAATGGAGTTCTGCTCGACTCACCATCACTTTCTGAGAATGTCGAGTCAGGTTTTGCACGCCCTAATCTAAGCAAAACGGCAACAACTTCTGCATGGCCCCGTCTTGCTGCGTGACATAATGCCGTCCGTGGTGAAACCAGACCATCACCATCGCTTTTTGACTCTGGGTCAACTTGATGGCTCAGAAGCAGGGATACTATCACTACGTGCCCTTCCTCAGAGGCATATGATAGTGGTGTCCTACCCCAGCCATCTCTCACATCTGGTTCCATGCCATTGCTCAGCAACTCAGAGGCTTCCGCGCGAAGTCCAAAGTATGCCGCCAGATGAAGCCCAGTTACACGGCCTAGTCTTACCGATTTGTCGTATCCTGACCGAATGCCTCCAGGCCCTGATCGAAAAGCGGGGACTAATTGGCTTGATGCGCTTGCATGAGGCTCGCTTTTCAGAAAGTCAAGGACTTCGGAGCGAGTCTCTGTCTTGCGAGCATGATGCGCCCAGTACTTTGACGCATAGATGTATAGAGGATATCGAGATAGCCGCGTTCCTCGAATCGTTCTGCGTCTTTCTTTATCGTCGAATCTATAGCGAGGCCGATCTTCGCGATCATTATCATAATCGACTTTAAATTGTCCCGTTCCAAAGGCTGTGAATTGTAGATATGTCCCACAAGATGCCGCGATCGTCCCCTCGTAATAACTTTTGGCTTTTATTTTTCGTTTACATTCTGAAAGTGAGGCTCTCGCTATAATTGATCTCTGATCGGGAGACTCCAGAGACAGAAGGCAATCGAGATTGGCCTGTAAGTACTCCATTGTTGTGAAATGTAGCAAGCTAATCGTACCATCGTATCCACCTTGTTCAATCTTTACCAGACCCATACAAACATGGAGAATCACGTTGGTGCTTTCGAAGTCCCCGTCGCTGAGTTCTGAGACTCCCTCTCGTATGCTGAGTGCGGTTCGAAGTTGCTCCTTTGTGAGTCGCTCCTTTGCAAGTGTGAGCCAAGCCAATGTTCTACTCGCGAGATATCTATGTTCCTCTGGCTGGTTTGCGATTCTTCGGATGGTTTTCTCATACGCGTCCTTGTAAGCATTTGGGCCAGTGACAAGGTTACGCAAGGCATCCTCGATGTCAGCGGGTCTTGTTTTGCTCATCAGACCATCTAGGTGAAAGCGGGCGAGGAGAAATCTGCAAGTCGTCATTAGATTTTTCTTCTTACTTCCGACATCAATCGAGAGACTTACACTCCATTCACAACTTCGCTAAGCCTTTTCCTGATTGTTTTTCTGAGGTCTTGTTTGATTCTTTCCGGGATTTCAGTGTTTGCTTCATTTAGAACTAGCATCTCGGTCATCCGTTGATCAATATATAGTTTCACGTCGTGGTCGTCGGCTTGTATCTTCTTTCTCAAACACCGGTGAAGATTATCAAGTTTATCTTCGAGGCTCTGAGCTGGGGGCCGCGAAGTAATGAGAATGTTTGCCATTGCATGTTCCTGCAAAGAACTGAGTTCAGAGAAAAGGCTTTCTGTTGGCTCAAACTCGTCTATGGCATCAACCATAATGAACGCTTGATCAAAAGAATTGATGACGTCGCGAAGTGCTTTGGTGATATCATGTGGTGATGGCCTTTCTTCCCCTTTGAATTTCTCCACATAGAGTGATTTTAAGGCGGCCGGAAAAGGGTCTTGCGTTTGCGCGAGCTGTTTTAAAAGACTCGTGAACAGGTCCTGGACTGTCTGCTTTTTTGTCGTTTGGTAGCTGCAGTACACATATGCAACACCAGTTCCATGATCATCTTTGAATCTGGTTTTCAGATAGTCGACTGTGATGGCTGTAAGGATCGTTTTGCCCACTCCAGGCATTCCGGAACAAAACAGCATAGCATTCTTGGTCTCCAGCCAGCGTTCAAATTCTTCGGAACTCGTGAACTGCTGGCCCGTGCCTGGCTGATGTTGCTGGAAAAAGGATTCTTGCTCAGCGGTGTAATCAGTCGCTTGAAGCCAGTTAAGCATCTTGAGTTCTTCTTCCCCTTGCTTACTGCGGTATATAGCTCCAACCTGTTCTTTGGTCTCGAATATAGGTTCACGAACTGTGTTCCCAATTGTTAGAAATTCAATGATATTGAGAGCTAATTGGTCACTGACACTCAAAAAGGATGTCCTTTATCTTCTCCTCCGCCTCGACCTTCTCGGGGGGGATCAGGAGGAGAAGCTCCTTTGCATAAGCTGCAGCCACGAGGGCCGCATAACCCTGCCACTCATCACCCCTATGGGAGTCGGAATAGTCGCATATACCTCTAATAGCAAGGCAAGGAAAATGGTTAGCTAACCCAGCTGCCTCCATCTCAAAGCACAGCACACCCTCATTCACAGCAAGTCTATCTCGCGCTATAGCATCCTCCATTAGCTGGCTGCCAGAGGCGATAAGACCGTAGTGAATCTTTGGGCTATCCTGGTCCTCCTTGCGTGGCTGTCTCTGGACAAGGTTTGACTGAGGACACGAAGTCAAGCAGCTTGTCGAGTCCAAAGGATGAACGAACCCGGATTCATAGAGTCTATCAGTATCTTTGTGCGGCCGTCCATAACCGGCTTCCATAAGATTATTGTTTCCTTCCAGTATATGGTCGACTGTCTGCCTCAACTTGCATCCTTTCCTGACATGCCAGGCGGACAATTTGGTGATAGCAGTCAAGATAGACATTGGGGGCTGGTTCAAAGCTCCCATGATACCAATGCCTTTATCTTGAATTGCCTTTCCGTGATCATACTGAACTAGGCCGCCGCTCCGCTTTAAAGGAACCCCAACCACAATATCACCGAGGCGAATATCATGTATGGTTGGGACGCCACCCCCAATGCCCACCATAAAACCAAGCCTAACATTGGGAAAGGTGCGCGCCATATCCCTCCCAACACTGGCAGCATTAACTATCCCATACTGCCCCTTAGGCAATGCTGCAATGACAACATAATGGTTTCCGATTTTTCCGAGGGTGTAAGTGTTGTTATCCTCTCTTGGCGTCAGAACAGCCTCAAAGATTTCTTCGTCAAGAAGTTCAGAGGCTGCGACAAGCTCTTCTTCAATAGCGCAAATCCATCCAATGGTATATTGATCGTAGTTTGTCATGGTGCTTTGTGTTCCCTATGCAGATATCGGTTTCAAACCATACAACCAGACTTGTCGGTTCAAGTCATTCACATCGACAGGATAGTTCTTATGTACGCCGTATATACTCTTTTCACAACGGAATGAGTGCCTTGTATCGTTGATGTGAAGCGAGAGTTTAGAGTTGGGAATGAGTCCCGGATTTGATTGCAGGAGGAGCTCTGTCTAGTGAAAAGTCGGGGCTCAGGTGCTGCCTCAGGCTTCAAAATCTTACGCAGTGCATCCAACGCCCTGCAGACAATGGCTGGAAGTTTATATCAGCTTACATGCTTAGGGAGATCGGGCTTGCATGGGCAAGAAGGGCATTGGCTAGTCGGCATAGCTTCCAAGAGCCCAGTACCAATATGGACAAAAGACAATGAGTTGCAGCGGGGATAGCGTGATAATCTTGATTGGTAAAAAGGTAGAAAGATACTTGTCGTCTGCATTGCTGCCTAATAACCACAGAGCCTGATTGCCAAGGTGGTTGATACAGCCAACCATGAACTCTGGCTCAACAGAGCCAGTGATGGTGGCGTCTTGGACTGCAGCAGTTTTCAGCCGCAGTGAAATTCTCACATGGCAGCTAATGTTTTCCTTTGAGACTCATCTGCACCTTGGAGGTCCAGCCCGCCTACCTGCTAGTCTGAAAATTTTCCAAAAGTTCTAACACATGTCTCGTGCTGTGTGTCTGCTGTGTTCCCATATCTGCATGAAGTATTGACTGTTGCGACTGGTTACGGGGGCGCGTACAAAAACACACATGGTGTGTGTATGCCAAGAATTTGGTGGCTGTAAATTGTTTCCTCTTCTCTCCAAATCGGCTCCAACCGTGGAGGGCCTTTGATGCTCCTTTTCAGGTTCAGTCTGCGTGCCGAACTTACCCGTCACCCCAACTTGGAAAACATCAAGGCTTAAAAGCTTATTCTTAAATGTGATGCAATTGGATGCTAACATGCTTACATTTCATTTCGACGCAGCATGTGCACACGCTGGCTACAAAATCTTCATTCAGACCTTTTAGTCTCTATGTTCCCGTCCATAGTGCAGTCTTGATTTGTTTATTGGTAGCTGACTTGTGCCTGGTGCTATTAGGTTAATGCATAACAATCACCCCTGCTTTCCTGAGCTACTAAAAACGGCATCCGCATCAGTACTGATGACGTTTTTGGTCAGTCCCAAGAATTTCAGCATGATAGCTGTTTGAATGATTAATGTCTCAATAGTTGACTTCATAGCCACTCAAATACCCAATTCAGCTCGGACTGCCAATGCTCATCCGCCCTCTCCGTCCCTACCGCATTTCTCAAAACCACATCATACACATACAAAATCGCAAAACAGTCCTTCAAGTATTTCCTCAAACGGTCTCTCGGCTGTTTTTGGACTTCATCTGCTCCGTCTGCCAGCGGATCAATTGCTACCATGTCCCCTTCAAGCGTACCCTTTCGCCGACCCGCAGCCCACGACTCATTAACCCCAAGAGAAAACCAAAAATGTCGATGCGGAATATTCTGTGCCGGGAAGTCATAGTTCTCAAGGGCGTGGTTACATAGAAAAGACAGAAAATTGTCAACAGATAGCAACGGCACCCGTTCTGCTGCCCGAGACTCAACAGCTTCAATGAGGTTCAGGTAGATGTACATTTGCAACGCCACGCTCGCGACGAGATCGAGTCCGAAGGCATGGCCCCAGTGAAGACCACGTAGGTTTGATAAAGGGACCTCGTTGGCAAGACGAACAAGCGCAGTTAACGCCTCACGGCGAATGGGTTTGTCATCGGCGGTAGCAGCTACAATGACTAACATCTTCGCTGCATCGGCCAGGTTGGCATCAGCAGTGGTATAGCATAGCTCATAGTCGCTATCTGGATCCTTAGCTCGGCGTTTCCAATATTCGAGATCTTGATGCGACGCCTTGAGCGGGTTGTGCAATGCTGAGTTATCCTCATGAGGCTCGAGACCAAAGTGGCGCTCAGCGAAGTAGAGCACATCGTCGGAAAAGAGTTTTCCATTTACTGGTGCTGAATGAATCTTCATGCTCTCGGTATCAGAGAATTCCCTGATAGTTGTCAGGAACACGCGATTGAAGTGGCCGATAACCGCTTGCTGCTCAGGCAAACCTAGCGCAGTTAGGCTATAGTTGCCTTCTTGTTCAGCTGGCGTAAGGGAGAAATGGGGAGCAATCAGGTGCCATGGGATCTTGTGGTCGAGATGCATTTAGAGTAGATTCTTTAGTATTCTTGCTATTGTGGTTCGTTGAATGATGTTGAGATAATTTGGGTCACGGATCTGAAACTAAAGCGTGTTTTGCGCCCATTTTTGTTACTAACATTATCTCCTTTTGTGTATATATGCTTTAATATTGCATGTTGAAAGCACTGTTAGATGTAATTATCCAAAAATTTCCATTTTACAATATGGAAACCATGGGAGAATGGAGACGTGCTACTCAGAGTCATGTTATGTCTTTTCTTTGCTTAGAGAATGGTCTTGCTTACTTGCGCAATTTTAAATATTTGCCTTGTTGTAATCGAGTAAATATGTCGGCCGCAGTTAATCCCACAGCTGTTAAAAAAAAATTAACATATTTCGATCAATAGCTTGCTGAAGCGTTGAAGCTGTTCGAGATAGCCCATCAAACTTTCCACTCACGTCAGAGATAGGTAGCCGTTACATCATGACGTATCGCCTGATGAACTCGATGTCGATTGCGGGGAAGGGCCAACAACGTCAAACCGTTTCTTCTTCAACTCAATTGATTCTCTCTCATACAAAATCATTTCATCTCATCAATTGGCAATTGAATCATCGAAATGCTCGTCGCAATGCTGTGGCGGCTCCCTCTCCTGGTCGCCGCCTATGTCGGCGCTGTCGCAGCTGATGGGCAGAAGGTGCTCGGCGGGGATAGCACAGATCTGGATCACATCCGCGACAAGTACTGCCATTCCGACTGTAATTGAATTCATCAGCTAACCCGCATAGACTGCTCGAGGCTCAGATCATTCCCACTGTCATTGATGACTTCCCGCCAGCTCTCAGCCTTCGTGTGAAATGGAAGCACGACTCTGCCGACCTAGGCAATACCCTCAAACCCGATCATCTTAAAAAAGCGCCGGTAATCCATCTTGACAAAGTTGAGTCCGACGCGCTTGCTGGCACTCAACTCTCCAAGGACATGTCGTACGTCATCGTCCTCACCGATCCCGACGCGCCGTCCCGCGATGACCCCAAATGGTCCGAATTCTGCCACTGGATTGCAGCGAGCTCTCACCTAAAATACTCATCAAATTCTAAGTCCAAACACCACCTTAAAGATATCATCAAATACAAACCTCCTGGTCCGCCGCCGAAGACCGGAAAGCACCGCTATGTCTTCTTCACCTTTATCGCAGCCAATGGCACGACCAAGAAGCTGCACCTGAGCAAACCAGAGGAGAGGAAGCACTGGGGTTCGGATGATGCAGGCCATGGAGTTCGTGAGTGGGCGCATGAGAATGGTCTTATTCCCATCGGTAAGGACGATCTAATTCCCATCTCGCTCACCGAGGTTAACAATATCCAGCCGCGAATTTTATATACGCGGAAAACGACGAGCAGTAGCCCCAGGCACTTCACATGTCAAATGCACTCATCCCTAGCTTAAATGATTCGAAAAGGAAGCTCATCCATATACTTTAAACAATTCCTTGGTTTTCAGTCTTCAATTCAAGAATGTCATTCGTCGTGCCGGAGGTTGTTCCTGATTTAGAAACCGAGCGGTTTTAGCATCGTGCAACCCCGCACCAATACACGTTGTCGATGCCACCACGATCTATGCAGATCCAAGTCCTTGAAGCTTAAACAAGCAGGTCGGCATATAATAGGCACTACCGGTCTTGGCGGGCACAGCGAATGATTTAATCCTTCTTTGGAGCGTGACCTTCGGAGCAGAGATCATTACTGCTTTAGGCAGGTAGCTCCTAGTCTCCGCATGCGGCGATCGGAGGTAAACTACTGCTTTCAACGTTGACTTCGGAGAATCTCTCGTTCGGAGAAGAGACTGGCTGGGCACGAGGTCATGAATATGTATAAATACTTCAGATATTCTTGATCAGCTTTGACTTTCTCGTTTCATCGGTGCAGCCATCAAAATGAAGTTCAGCGCCTCTCTCCTCACTCTCATCCCAGCCGTCTTCGCCCTTCCTACGGGCGAAGATGTTTCTGTCTCAAAGCGTCAGAGCGCCAACACAGTGACGGATCAACTCCTCTTCAGCGTCACTCTACCTACATTCACCGCTCGTCGCAACGCCCGTGATCCTCCCACTCTCGACTGGTCTTCTGATGGTTGCACCTCTTCCCCCGATAACCCATTCGGTTTCCCTTTTGTGCCTGCTTGCAACCGTCATGACTTTGGCTACAACAACTACCGCATCCAGAGCCGTTTCACTGTCAGTGCCAAGGCCCGAATTGATAGCAACTTCAAGACCGAGTAAGCCCCCTGTGCAGTTGACGATTGATGAAGAGAAGGCACTAATTGTGAATAGTTTGTACTACCAATGCACCTCATCGAGTGCTGCTGGCGCATGCCGTGCTCTGGCTGATGTTTACTACGCTGCTGTTCGTGCTTTTGGTGGTGGTGATGCTACCCCCGGCAAGAGAGATGAGGATCTCGTTAAAGAGTATGAGGAGAAGGTTGAAATTTACAACAAGGCTGTCGAAGAGGCACAGGCGAAGGGCGAGCTGCCTCGTCTTGACTAAGATTGAGATAATCTTCTAAATACCGGTGTACATAGTAAAAGTTACAAGAATATAGTTATGATCTACTACTCAATCCTGCCATTTATAGAATCTCTAGAAAAGGTAAAGGTTATTGTCTTATTACTTACTAGTCCTAACTCTTTCTCTGTTATGTTAAACCTTTCTTATCGTTATTATAGTATTTATTTCTTTGTAACTAAAGTTATTTTCTTAAGCCTTTCTAACTATAGAGAAAAGTACTGGCTTAGAAATATAGCATCGGCTTGTTCATAAGTAGCCCTCGTCCTGAACCTGGAAAGCTTAAGGCATACAAAAGTGAATCTAACTCAAGAAGAAAGCGCACACCGAGTCCTAATAACTTGCATTACCAGATAGATGTTCTAATATCACTCTAGTCCAGAGATTCCGTATTCTCCAATGGCGGCCCAATATCAAAGCCATCTGCCCCTAGCTCACGCTTACACAACGCCCAGTCTTGCTTAAGAGCCGGAAAATAGGTCCACGACCACGCACATCGCCAGTCATGGCTGACAAGCGTATCATGTTGTGCCTGTCCCTTGCTATACTGGCTGAGAATACTTGTTATCCGGGTCGATGTACTAGTATTATCAGGCCGTATATCCTTGCTAGAGCCTTTTCGCTTGTCGGCCGCTTCTTTGTGACGCAGGGCCTCGTAATTGCTCTCGTAAATAGGGCGGCCTGAGTAGAAAGCTTCCTTAGCCCTGCGAAGCTGTTCTTTATGGTCCACAACCATCAAATGATCGTGTGCCCAAAACCGCTCAACCTGACGCATGTACAGTGTCCATAGACCCAAGGCCTCTTCATCGTTTCCAGACGCAGCATTTAAAAGTCCGGCAAATAGCACGAGACGAGCGACTGAATAATCTGCCGTCTCTTGTCCTTGGACTCGCATTCGCTCTCTTATCAGGGCCAGTGCCTCATCGAGATGGCCTAGCATTGCGAATGCACGCGCGCGGTACCACACAGCTGCATTCGTTATGGGGTTCGCCGACCCTTTGCTTTTGAATACCTGGTCGATGAATGAGTCTAGAAAGGAGCCAGCCTCTGCCATGTACCCGGAGCGGCACAGAATAGATGCAAGATTTGTCTTGGTTGACAACCAATGCTCGTCATCTCCAATCTTTTCCTGTATTTCTGTGACCAGTGCTTTGACTCTATCGCGATTATCCGGTTGAAAGAACCGAACATGGTCCAACTTGGCCTGCAGACTCCGACTGTGATAGACTCCTATAACCTCGTCCATCTTCTTCAATACACTCTCCCAAACTGGCGATAATGGATCTATGGGTTGATTTTCGTCTTGGAGAAACTGTGAGACAAACTCTGTGATGTGGCTGAGAAGCCTGAATTTGCTGTTGATTGCCAGTCCACCGTTTAGTTCCATATCCTGTTCGTTTAGCACTGCTTTGGCATGTGGCATGAGTTGTTGCATCTCGGTCCAGTTGTCGGCGTTGGGTACGGGGAATGTATTGCACATCATAGCCATGGCTTTGGCTGCTATTTCTCTCGCTGTGTCGTGGCTCCTCTTCACCTGGCTTCGCAGTACAATATGAACTAGCCGATGCAATGTCACGGCTCCTTCGTCACGACCTTTAGTTAAGGCACAGTACTGCTCAAGAAGCGACAAGGCTTCGTTAATTTGATCGTCTGTAGGAGGGAGTATGTTTCCTGTTGGCTGCCAGTCGTCCCATTCAGGGCCACGGACAAATATTCCAGTGTTAAAAAGCTCATAGTTGTGTGCGTAGCAGATGAAGAGTGACCGAGGTATTTCCTGCCTCTCGTAGAAGCTCATAAGTTTGAGAAGCTCCATGGCTAGAGTATTCTCTGACTGGATCGCGTCGAAGGTTATTATCAAAGTTCTTGCCACGGCGCTGTACCTCCCGTCTTCATCTTCGAGAACCGTGGATTCAGCTTCATGAGGTCGGTTTACAATCAGGCTTCGAGCATGTCTCAAACGCTGCAAGTACCTCGGAATCTGCTCCTTTCTCTTGGACAAATACGCCGTAGCTTGTATCAAGGCCAATGGTAGATATTCGATTTCCGCTGCTAATTCTGCCAGGTTCGCGTCATCGTATTCAGCGGAAGCGAGCTTTTTTCGCATCAACTCAATGCAGTCGTCGGTTGTCATCTCATCGACCATGACAATTTTGCCTGGGTCTGCTAGAATCTCCGCTATCTCTCTACTCCGTGTGGTAAAGAGTATAGATCCATGGTCACAGCTCGGAAGATAGTCTCGCAGCATTACTGGAGCTGTGTCTTGATCCTTGGTTTCACCAAATACCTTGATGTAGTCAACATTGTCAACCACCATTACCCAAGAACCTTTCTGCGCTTGATCTTCAAACCATTTTTTAAGATTTTGAAGCATAGTAGATTGAGACACCTGTGGGTTATCAATATCACACCCCGGAATCTTGCAATAACGGGCGATCTTGGCGTATGACTCGACAAATCGTTCA